CCCCCCCCCCACATAAACCACCTCACCTTCCTTTTCCCAACACAGCATCCTCGTCGACATAGACAGCATTCACGTCAGACCCCGGCACGTCGAACATGGCTTCGAGAAGGAGGCTCTCCATGATCGACCGGAGCCCGCGCGCGCCGGTGTCCTTCTTGATGGCCGTGGCCGCCACCGCTCTGAGCGCGCCTTCTGTCATGTGGAACTCCACGTCGTCGATGCCAAACTGGAACTTGTACTGCTTCATGAGCGAGTTCTTCGGCTTCGTCATCACCTAATAGATGAATTCGTTCGTTTCGATGTCCCGTTTGTTGTGCGTACGCGTCAGTTGGACTGTTACGGATATTAGACTGAGCGGAGATCCGACGGTTTTGAATGGCAAGGCAACAACAACAACAACAACAACAACAATAGTGCGAAAGGGCGTTTCAGTTACACACTCGTTCGTGGGTATTTTTTTCAACCTCTCATGTGATTTTGATCCTTCGAGACTGGCTTCATAAGCAAGCAGCCGAACCGCCGTGTGTGTGCCCGATCGAGATCTCGCCGGCTGCGCGTCGTGCTATCAACACAACCATCAAACACACCAAGGAAAAAACAAATTGAAAACAACTGCTATACACACGCTTCGCACGTAAAAAAACCGGCTAAACCACCCCCCTTCGACACCCAAGCACGGAAGAAAGACAGGCGCACGAAAGGTGGAGCAGCAGCGTCGACTGCTCACCTCGACCATCTGGTCCAGGCCTAGGCCTTGCGTGCTCACTACCAGCGGAAATCGACCGATAAGCTCAGGGATGAGGCCGTACCGAACCAAGTCCGGAGGCTCGGCCTTCAGCAGTCGGTTCGTCTGTCGCGCGAGGGGAGGCGTCCGAGGACGGGACGGGACGGGTGCAGTTGATGGAGGGGGGGGGGGGGGGGGGGGGGGGGGGGGGGGGGGGGGGGGGGGGGGGGGGGGGGGGGGGGGGGGGGGGGGGGGGGGGGGGGGGGGGGGGGGGGGGGGGGGGGGGGGGGGGGGGGGGGGGGGGGGGGGGGGGGGGGGGGGGGGGGGGGGGGGGGGGGGGGGGGGGGGGGGGGGGGGGGGGGGGGGGGGGGGGGGGGGGGGGGGGGGGGGGGGGGGGGGGGGGGGGGGGGGGGGGGGGGGGGGGGGGGGGGGGGGGGGGGGGGGGCTACGGCACGACGGAGGGGTGGAAAAGTTCGTCCGCGGGAGTGCTCCTGGGGTCGTGCAGTTCCCCGTCGAGATTGGGGTTGGAGAGGTGGTTTTGCTGGTCGGAAGACATCGGTAGAGATAGGACACAGGTGTAAATCTGCTCCCTTATCTGACCTCCCCAACCTCAACCTCGACGGGGAACTGCACGACCCCAACAACACTCCCGCGGACGAAATTTTCTCCCCCGCCGTCGCCCTCAGTGTATTATCTTGGTCGTTCCTCGCAACCAACCATGCCGCCCTTCCTTTCGCTCGACGCTCGCAGCCAGCTGCTCTCCGTATTATACCTGCATCTCCGGATTGGTGAGGTCGGCGGGGAGGTTAGCCCCGAAGCCTATGCTAGACTTGGCGATTCGGTTGTTGATGAGATGCTCCAGGCCGGCGAACGCGCCCCCGCAGATGAAGAGTATGTTGGTCGTGTCCACTTGGATGAAGTCTGACCGAGGGTTCTTGCGGCCCCCGTCCTTCGGCACGTTGACGATGGCCCCCTGGGTGGATCGTAATGGAAAACAGGTATTAACGGGAGGGGGAAGGGTTGAGACATGGTGGGCGTGCAGCAGGGCATGCTCAAGCTGGTGGATCGTTGTAGAACAGAAAAAACACTACGGCAGAAGGGCCGAGACATTGACGGCATGCAGCAGGGGATGCACACATTGGGGATATTGTGATGTCCATATGGTGGTAGTAGCACAGGCTAATAATAAGACAGCCGTTTGCGCGACGTCGTCTCTAAAACGTAAATGGAAGGACGGGGTACATGCCGAACGTGGATCGGTAAGAAGTTGAGCGAGGGGAAACGATGCTCTTAACCCATCATTCGTATACTACAACGAAAAGGCGTGGACTAGTTTGGTGTCTTGTTGATAATGTAATCGGTGTGGAATGAATGCGAATGTGGCATCGTGGCTCGCTTCGCTCGAAGGCACTTCACGGTATTTCGGGCGTGTTGCAGTGTGCGATCACAGTGCGGGTCGGCTCGCTTCGCTCGAAGGCACTTCACAGTATTTCGGGCGTGGTGCAGCGTGCGGTCAAAGTGATACACCACCTGCATGTTACTCAAAAGGCAGTTCATCATGCGCAGGCAATGTGATGTCCCCCCTCCCGAGGAAATAGCTCGTTGTTTGCTTCGTCGACACACCGGTGTGATACAAAAAAGTCGGCTATACGCAGAGCATCGGTGGCAGCAAGGAGCGGCCGGGCAGGAGGACGAGAAGGCACTGCTGTGGTGTATTCCGGCAAACCGTTTGAATTTGGAACACCCCCCCCTCCCTTACGCATGAAGAATATCTATGTAAAAGGAGGGTATACCGGGTTTCCGTGCCCCCCCAGCAGTTTGATTCTTCCGTGTCGAGATAGACAGCATGATGACACGAAATCGAGAAAGAGAGAGAGCAAGAGAGAGACAGAGAGAGAGAGAGAGAGAGAGAGAGAGAGAGCCACACACACACCAGAGCGAGACGTACGTGCAGCAACTGCACTTGCCGTAGGTTATGTGTGCACCTATCTATGGGGTTCTAAAATACACCACTCGTAGTATTTACTTATTTTTTACAAAGCAAGTCAACACGAGGAATGGTAAACTCGCTTTCATCGCCGGAGGATTCGTGGCTGGCGGATTTGTGGCTGGCGGATTCGTGGCTGGAAATTTCGACGATGGCCCAACGCTGAAACTCTGATCGCTCTTGCCTAGCGCTTCTGGCCGTGATGCGGCAAGACCGCTGCACCTCTGCTAGATTGCGTTTAGCTTTTGTGACAGTGCGACTTGATAGCTTCTTCAGGGAGTCCACACCACCAGCAACAAGACCCGCGACGCTTGCTTCCATGTCATCATCACCATCGCAAACGATCGACCCCAGCTTGCTCATGATCGAGGTGGAATGGGTGGTGACGTTGGCACCTATGGCTTGCGCGCA